AAATTATGAAATTTCTTATTCATATCTTGCATTAAGTTTCTGAAAAAAGCCAAACAACTTGGAAATAAAGGGCTCTATAAATCAAAACAAAAAGTCAGTTGATACCCTCAGCAACAAACAAGATCAAGTACAAAGAATATTGACACCTGAAGGAAGATATCTCAAAATATCACATTTAATAACAACAAAAACAGGATGAAGGTAGGATTCAAGGTAGTTGAGACACCATTAAATGGTCAAACTCCACATCACTGGCATGTCCAAAGGGGAGAAACAAGAGGGTAAGAGCACAGAAAACCTATTCAATAATAGCAGAAAACATCCCTAATCTTGGAAAAGCGAAGGACATACATATATATATACAGGAGACCAGTAGGAACCCCAAATAGACATTATCAGAAAAAACATCACTGTGGCATATTATAGTCAATGTTAAAATACAGGACCAAGAAAGAAATTAAATGTAATTTGGGCTTTTCTCATATTTTTAAGGGTAACCCCATTAGACTAACAAAAATTTTCAGCAGAAACCCTATAAGCCTGGTAGGCACAGAATGATATATTTTAAGTCCTTCAAGAAAATAACTAAAAGCCAAAAATACTATACCTAACAAGCTGTCCTTCAGGAAATGAAGACCTTCCAACATAAGCAAAAACAGGGTATTAATGCTACGAGATCAGTCTTTTTAAAAAAACTGCTTGAGTTTTACATTTAGAAGTGAAAGATAATTATTCTTTTACATGGTTTCATGATCATAATTCCCGCTAAAAGAGCAGATATACAAAAGGAAATTAGAAAAGGGTCAAATATTATCTATATAGTAAAGCATCAAACCAAAACAAGAAAAAAGAGAGGAAAAAAAAGAATAAAGATTATTCAGAGCAACTAGAAGAAAACCAGAAAAATGACAGGACTAAGTCCCTACCAGTCAATAATAATCTTGGATGTAAATGAATTATGTTCTCTAATTAAAAGAAGCATCCTGACCAAATGGATTAAAAAGACCCAACAACATTCTTCCTACAAGAAACGGACTTCACCAGTAAAGACACACAGAGACTGAAAGTGAAAGGTTGGAAAGTGATATTCCAAGCAAATGAAAACTAAAGTAAACAGGAGTTGGTATCCTTTTATATGACAAAATGGACTTTAAGACAAAACAAACAAAAAAGTGACTGTATGATGAACGAGGGATTAATGCAACAAGAAAAATAATGATTTTACATATATGTGTACCTGAGACTAGAGCGCCCAATTTTATGAAACACTATTAGACCTAAGAGATAGGCTCCAATACAATAATTGTGGAGGATTTCAATCTCACTTTCGTCAATGGATCAATCATCCAGACAAATGCTTGAGTCTTAGCAAATCAATAAAAACCAAACCTGAAATCATATTCTATATCTTTTCTGATCATAACTGAATAAAATCAAAAGTCAGTAACAAATTTTAGAAATTATATAAATATATGGAGACTGAACAACACACTTTTTAATGAACCTGTGAGTCATTGAGGATGTCAGAGGGAAAATTAAAATTTTCTCGAAATAGATAATAATGGAAACACAACACACAAAAACCTATAGTACATAACAAATGCAATAGTGCATTTATAGAAGTAGCTGTCTATATTTTTAAAAAATACAGAAGATGTCAAATAAGCCTCCTAATGATATATCTCAAGGCCTTATAAAACTAAGAAGAAACCAAATCCAAAATTAGTACAAGGAAATAATACAGATTAGAGCAGAAATAAGTGAAATAGGGACTAATAAAGCAATGCCAAAAAAAAAAAAATCTATGAAGCAAAGAGTTGAACCTCTGGAAAGATAACCCAAATTGACAAGCCTTGAGCCAGACTAACAGAAGACCGAAATAAAGTTAGAGAGAAAGATGAGACATAATTGTTACCTCAGAGATTCAAAGGATCGTTAGGCATTATTTTCAAAAACTATATCCTAAAAAAAATAGAAAATTTAGAAGAAATGGATGAATTTCTGAAAACATATCACCTACCAAATTGAACCAAAATGGTATAAAAAACCTGAATAGAAGAACAGCAAGTAACGAGACTGAATCAGTAATAGAGTCTCCCCAAAAAGAAAAGCCCAGACTCAGATGCCTTCACTGGTAAATTCTATCAAACCTTTAAAGATCTAATGGCAAGTCTTAAAACTACTCCATTGAATTGAAAGGGAAGGAATCATTCCAAACTCATTCAATGAGACCAGCATTATCATGATACCAAAAGCTGACAAGAACACAGTTTTTAAAAATCCATAGATTAACAACCATAATGAACAAAAGATGGACATACTTCAAAAATAAAATGCCATATTATGTACATCAAATTCAATAGTATATCAAAAAAATTATCCACCATGATTTAGTTCTTTTCATTCCAGGGTTGCAAGGATGACTCAACCTACACAAACAATAAATGTAATGTATCACATAAATAGAACAAAGTACTAAAATCAAAGACCATCTCAATAGATGCAGAAAAAGCATTTGATACAATTCAACATACCCTCATGATAAAAACCCTGGCTAAATTAGGTATAGAAAGTCCACACTTCAACATAATGAAGGCTGTATATGACAAACCCACAGCCCAACATCATACTAGGGCAAACATGGAAACATTTTCTGTAAGATCACACACAAAATAAAGTGGTCCACTATTCTTATTCAATATAGTACTAGAAGTTTTCACCAGATAAATGAGGCAAAGGAAATAAATAAAAGGCATACAAATATAAAGGAGGAAATCTTAAATTGTCCTTGTTGGAAGATGATATGCTTACAGAGAAAAACTTTAAGATTCCACCAAAAGACTATTAGAATTGATAAGCAAATTCATTCAAGTGGCAGAATTTAAAATCAACATACTAAAATCAATAGATTTTTCTATATACCAATAATGATTTTGTTGAGAATGAAACCAATCCATTCACAATAGACACACATACTCACACTCACACACACAAAATGCATAGGAATAAATTTAAGGAAATTAAAGTCTTTACAGAAAAATTACAAAACACTGATGAATAAAGTTGAAAAGACACTAAAAGATGGAAAGACCTCCTATTTTCATAGATTAAAAGAATATAAGTATTATTCAAACATATTCATTCTACGCAAAGAGATCTACAGATTCAGTGCAATTCCCATCACATATGGATTGCATTCTTCATAAAACTACAAAAAAAAAAAAAAAACCCACTTAAGTTCACAAGGAAGCACAAAAGATTCCCAAATAGCCCAGATTATCTTGAGACAAATGAACAAAGCTAGAAGTAATACAATACCTGATTTCAAGACATACTACATATAGATCAATAGTACATATAGGACATATAGTACATATAGATCCATAGCATGGCATTGGCATTTAAAAAAAAAAAACATGAGATCCCAGAAATAAATCCACACATCAAAGAATGAACAGCCTCTCCGACAAATAGCGCTGGGAAAGCGAGACATCCACATGTAGAAATTTGAATCACGACTCCCATCCCTCATCCTGTAGATAAATCAAGTCAAAATGGATCAAAGACCTTAATGTGAGACCAAAATTTCTGAAACCACTAAAGGAAGTCATAAGGAAACACTTCAAGACACAGACACAGATATTGATTTTCTGGGTAGGACTCTGGAAACAAAAACAAAAATTGATAAATGGAATTACAGCAAACTAAAAAGCTTCTGTGTAACAAAGGGAGCAATGAACAAAGTGAAAAGACAACCTAAAGAAAAAAAATATTTTCCAGATATTCATCTGACAGAGGGTTAATATTTAAAATATATAAGAACTAAAAAAAAACACCAAAAAAGGATTGATCCAATTTAAAAATAGGCAAATGACCTGGGTAGATACTTCTCAAAAGAAAAAATATAAATGGCTAACAAATATATGAAAAAAAAAATGCTCAATATCCTTGGCTAGCAGAGAAATGCATTTCAAAACTACAATAAGATACTATCTCACTTTAGAATGACTACTCTAAGAAAACAGAAAATAATAAATGCTGCTGAAGATGTAGAGAAAAAGCAATTCTTAGACATTGTTGGTGGGAATGTAAATTAGTACAGCCACTATGGAGAAAACTATGGAAGTTTCTGAAAAATAAAAAATAAGAAAACCAGCTACCATACAATCCATCTCTCTCTCTCCTGGATCATAGATTCAAAAGAAATGAAGTCAGCATACAAAAGGATACCTGCATACCCCTACTTATTGTAGCACTCTTCACAATAACTAAATATGCCTAGGTGCCAATCAACAGAAAAATCAGTTAAAGAAAATATGATATACATAAAAGCAATGAAGTATTATTCAGTCACAAAGAAAAATAACATTCTGTCATTTGTAGCATCTGGATGGAATTGAAGGACGTCATGTTAAGTAAAATAAGCCAAACACAAAGGCAAGAATTGCATGTTCCTTTTCATGTGTGGGGGAGGGGAGAGGAGGTCAACCTAAAAATCAAACAGTGATTATTAGGAACCGGGAACTATGCTAAGGGGATGGAGAGTGGGGGGTGAAACAAAGATGAAGGGACACTATAAATATATCCTGTATGCATGTATGGAAATGTCACAGTGAATCCATTAAAATGTACAATTAATGTGTATTAATAAAATAAATATTCAACAACAGAAAAGAAAAAGGAAATTATGAATGAGCAATTCTCAGAGGAAGAACATAAATGGTAAAAAATATATTTAGAGAATATTACTCTTAAGGGAAAAATGAGAATGAGAAATATCTCACACTCAAACTGGCAAAAATATTTAAATTTTCTTCAATAAATAACATAATATTTGAGCCCATCTTCCTCAATGTCATTAACAAGATTCAAGAAGACCTTGCATCAGGGAACTATAATGTAACAGCCCAAGCTAAAAGAAATTATGTTTTGGATGTAAGAGATAGCATGCTTTATCATGATGACAGAAATGAAAAGGAAATAATGACGGAAAATGTTACCTTTCAGGCAGATGACCCTTGGTTGTGGAGGCTGTCCTGTGCATTGCAGGATGACTAGCAGCATCACTGACTTTATCTAATAGATGCCAGAGAACACCATCAGGTCTTCAATGATAATAAGCAAAACTATCTTCTTTTCTGACGTTGCTAATTGTTACCTATAAGAGCAAAATTACCACAGCTCAAAGCCATTGCTGTAGAGGTTAAGGCCACAAGTTTTAGATTGACACTAGCCAGAGTTGAAATCTTGATTCCTTCAGTAGCTTCATGCAATTACACAAGTTGCTCAACTCTCCCGCACCACAATTTTCTCATCAGTACAATTTATCATTGTGTCACACTCATAACAATACTGACATTTAAATAAGAAAATGCATATGCAATATTTATTGTTTCCATGTTTTTATCTGTACATTATAGTTGTACATATAGGATTCATAGGTACATATTCACACATACACACAATATAAGAGGAGTGATACTGGCCAAAGCACATGGAATATTTAGAATAGTGATTGGTAAGCACTTGAATAATGGTATCAATTTACTATTAAGCTAATTGAACACAAAGGACAACTAAATTAAGGAAATAACCACTCAAGGGAGAAAGGCCGATAAGGTAAACAAAAGTGATGATGAAACATGATTGAGAGATAGTTGATTCTTAAAAATCATATTTCCAAATGATGGAATTCTCTGCTCCAGAATAAACTGATAAAATCTAAGGAAATCTAGGAAATCAGATTTTTTTTTACAGATAGGAAATAAATGTGCTGCATTACTTGACTTTTTGTTTGAAATAAATGTCACAGCATGGGTATTTGAAAATTATTATATATGCATGTTTGTGGGAAACTATTAATCACTGATAGAATTAAAAATGGAATATATTTCCAATAAATAAAAAAAGAAAAGCCAACAAACTGTCCAAATAATAAAAGAAAATTGAATAGTAATATAGAGACAATAAAATCAGAAAGCATAGGAGAAGACTATGAGTGTGAAAATTATGATGATAAATGTATAGATGATAAATCTCTCTATACTCATACAACATTAAAGCCAAGTTATTTCTTTTACTAAGAGCCATATTTTTAAACTTTAAAAAATAAGATTGGATGGGGGAGACACAAGTTAAAATGATGGCTAGACTGAAAGGTCAACATCACCAAGATAATGGACTTGGAGTTAATAGCTCTCATTCCTTGTTAGGGATTGGACCTGGAATGTCCCCCAAAGTCTCATGCATTGAAAGTTTGATCCCCAGTGGAGTAATGCCCAGAGGTGAGATTCTGTAAGAAGCAATAGGATCATGAGAGTTCTGACTGCATCAATAGATTAATTCATGGGTGATTACTTTGTTGGGAGGTAGTAGAAATTATAGGATGTGGGGCCTAGTTGAAACAGGTAGATCACTGCAGGTACACCCTAGAAGGATATATATTGTCCCTGGCCCCATTCTCCCCCTTCTCTCCTCTCTGTTTCTGCTTCCCAACTGCCATAAGGTAAGCAGCTCTGCTTCACCACACACTCTTACCATGTTCTACCTCAGCCCAGACCCAGAATAAATGGAGCCAGCTAACCATGGACTAAAAACTCTAAAACCAGAAGCCAAAATAAATCTTTCTTCTAAGTTGTTTTTATTAGGCATTTTGCTTTAGTAATGCAAAGCTGACTTAACATTCTCCAAAATAAAATGAAATATAGACAGTCATGCAAGCCAAAACAGCTCTTAGAGGGCTCAAACACCAGCTAAAGAATCTACAGCAAAATAATTGAAAAAAAAATTACATTATCCACCTGGAAAACTTTGACTGGTATACCTGACACACCAGGAGACAGCTAGGAACAAAGAAGAAAGGCAGAGGCTATTGCTACCTTCCACATAGCAGGAGCAAATGTTCCCCACAGCAGGCTGGCCCACAGAAGAACTTCTTTTGCCACTGAGGCGTCCAGTAGCCATTCCTGACAGGAAACTCCAGAGAGAAAGAGAGTCTCATGACCTTCATTCATATAAGAAGACACTCTTATCTAGCTGCTTCTATAAAGGAGTGGCCCCCTCTCTCCACCCTGGGTATACCCGAAGCCTGAACAGCAGCTGCCCCACCAGTACTCAGTTTAGATTCAGCCCCAGTGGCAGCACTGTGTATGAAGAGGTCAAAAACCAATTATGTTAGAGGAGATACTTGTTTATCCTGTCAGAGTCTATCATATACAAAACATTACATGGTGCCCATTAAGGTTTAATATGTACTTTTGTTTTTATACTGGAGATTGAACCCAGGGGCACTTTACTACTCAGCTCCATTCCCAGGTCTTTTTGTGTTTTATTTGTTTTAATTTTGAGACAGGGTCTCACTAAGTTGCCAAAGCTGGCCTTGAACTCACAATCTTCCTGCCCTAGCCTCCCTAGTCACTGAGATTAAGGGCATTCATCACCATGCCCAGCCAATTTATGTTTTTATATATAAGTTCAGAAATAAATTTAAATTAGGGTTGGAGATATAGCTTAGTGGTAGAGCATGAGTGAGGCCTATTTCAATCTCCAGCCTCTCCACCTGCCAACATACACACTGATAAATTTAAAGGAAAAAATATAATGAGATAATAATACCTCATGCTTGCAAGGATGGTTGTTTACTAAAAAGACAAAAGATAACTATTTCTAAGGATATGAGAAAACTGTAAACCACTGTAGTAACTATGGCAAACAGGAACAAGGTTCCTCAAAAATTTAAAAAGAATTACCATATGATCCCAGTGATTCCATTAGGGGGTATATATCCAAAGGAAATGAAATCAGTATGTTGAAGAGATGGCATATTCACAATAGTCAAGGTATGGAATCAACACAAGTGTCCATCATTGTATGGATAGGGAAAATGTAGTGTGTGTGTGTGTGTGTGTGTGTGTATATATATATATATATATATATATATATATATATATATATATATATTGGAATACATAAAAAGAAAACACTGTCATTTGTGACAACAAGATGATCCTGGAGGATTTAATGTCAAATGAATAAAGATAGACAATGAAAACTACAGAACACTAAAGAAAGAAATTGAAAAAGACCTTATGTATGGTTTGGATAGGAGATGTCCGCCAAGTTTATGTGTGAGACAATGCAAGAAGGAAAAATGATTGGGTTGTTAAGAGTTAACCCAATCAACGATTTACTCCCGATTGGGATTAACTGAATGGTAATTGAAGTGGTAGGGTATGACTGGAGGAGGTGGGAATTGGGACATGGCTTTGGGTATATATCTGTATCTGGAGAGTGAAGTTTCCCTCTACCTTCTGATCAGCATGATGGGAGCTGCTTCCCTCTGCCACCCTCTTCCGCCCAGAGGAATGGTGCTTCCTGTCTATGGATGGAGACTTCTGAAACTGCGAGCCCTTAAATAAACCTTTCCTCCTCTATAGTTGTTCTGGTCAGATCTTTTAGTCACAGCAGTATAAAAGCTGACTAAAACACCTTAGAAGAAGGAAAGATTTCCCATGTTCTTGGATAGGCAGAATTAAAATTTTCAAAATGCCCACACTACCAAAAGCAATGTACAGATTCTATGCAATCTCCATCAAAATACCTATGACATTTTTTCACAGAACTAGAAAAAACAATCCTTAAATTTATTGAGAAGATTAAGAGACCTACAATAGACAAAACAATTCTGAGCAAGAAGAGCAATGCTGGCATCACAATACCAGACCTGAAATTATACTACAGAGCTATAGTAACAGAAACAGCATGGTACACCGTGCACCAAAACAGACTTGAAGACTAGTGTAATTCAATTTAAGACACAGAGATAAACCCACATAAGTACAGTTATCTGATATCAGACAAAGGTACTAAAACATACATTGGAGAAAAGATAGTTTCTTCAACAAATGGTGCTGGTAAAACTACAAATCCATACATAGTAAAACTTGATTCCTGTCTTTTACTCCACACAAAAGTCAAATCAAAACAAATTAAAGATTTAGGAATTAGACCAGAAACTTTGCAACTGCTAGAAAACGACACTGATCACTGCAATATATTGGTAGAGGTGTCAACTTTCTTATCCAACCTCTTAAAACAAAAGAAATAGAACCAAGAATCAATAAGTGGGAAAACAAAAAATTAAGATGCTTCTGCACAAAGACCATGAAGAGAGCCTACAGAATGGGAAAAGATCTTTGCCTCTTGCTTCTCAAACAGGAATATAGTGACCAGAATATGTAAATAACTCAAAAAACTTAACACCAACCAACCAACAAACAATTAATAAATGGGCAAAATAAATAAACAGGTTTACAAAAGAAGAAATACAAATGGTCAACAAATATATTTAAAAATGTTCAACATCCCTAACTATCAGAGAAATTCAAATCAAAACTAGATTGTGATTATATCTTACTCCAGTCAGAATAGTGATTATTGAGAATACAAATAATAATGAATGTTGGCAAAGACTGGGGGAAGGTATCCTTATACATTATTGCTGGGACTGCAGATTGGTACAACCACTTTATAAAGCAGTATGGAGAGTCTTCAAAAGACTAGGATGGAAGCACAGTAATGCCACTCCTCAATATTTATCCAATATACTAATATCAGTATGCTATAATGATGTAGTCATTTCATTACAACATGAAATGCAGATAGAAAGGGGGACCTAATGATGGACTAAAGATAAATATAATACTAAAAGGAAATGATGGCCTGGCACAGTAGCACATGCCCAGGGACTCAGGAGGCTGCACGTTCAAAGCTGGCCTCAGCGACTTAGCGAGGCCCTAAGTAACCCAGTGAGACCCTGTCTCTAAATAAAAATTTTAAAAGGACTGATAATGTGGCTCAGTGTTTAAGTGCCTCTGGGTTCAATTCCTGGTGCAAAAAAAAAAAAAAAGAGGAAATTATGAACAAATAAAATATACTCTAAAAATAGATTACATGAATAAGTTCCTAGAAAAATTAAAATGGCAAAATTGGCAGAAAAACGTACAAAATATAAACAAATGCTTAAGCATTGTTTTTAAATATTTTAATTTTATTTTTAAAAATCCACCTCCAAAAAATGTCTGTGGGTATGTCAACTGGCGCAGCCACTCAGGAAAGCAAGATGGTAGCACTTCTTTGGAGTTAACTAACTCAGCAGAT